CTATAGCAAAAACATCTCAAAAAAAAAAAAAAAAGTGTGGATCACTGGTTGGCAGGAAATCCTTTTGATGAAGGACAATTTATATTACATAATATTAGTATTTATAGTGCATAGAACTTATGTGTTCAGAAAGACAGTATAATGAGTGTCAGTCTGTATGTTTAGTAGAGCAGTCGCAGAAGCTACTTACTACAGAGTTTCAGATCTCTCTCCTTGCCATGTTGACAGCTTTACAAGGTGGTCTGATGGTTTATAAATCAGAAGTCTTTCCTTAAAGTTATAAGAAGAGGTCATGGACTTCTTTTTCTTTTTTTTTTTTAATTAATTATTTTACTTAACTTTATTTATTTATTTTCAATTTGACCCATGAAGGACAGAGAGAAATAGAGAGATAAAGTAAGAAAGCAAGCCGCCAGGTCTCGGACTCAAACCATAGACAGCCATGTGGGAGTCCAGCAACCCCTAACCACCATGCCACCTGCTGGCCCCATGGATTTCTTTTTGAACTGGCGCCTTGGTTTTTCACTTTCCCTCTCTCTCTCTGGTCAAATTAAAATAATAATAATAAATTAATTAAATAATGTTTTAAAAGAGAGAATGAAGTATATCTTTATATTTGGCTCTGGAAATCTGGCCAACCTGTCACACAGCCTTTTCACAGACTGTTGTCCCTACCTGGAACGTTTGTCCTGTATCAACCCTTTTCTCCATTACCTGATCATTCCTTGTCCCCAGATCTCAGTTCAAAGTAACTTCCTCAGAAGACCCTTCCTGACCCCAGGGTCCAGTCTCACTTGCTGTATGTTCTGTGATACCAGGTATCCTTTTTTCCCCTAATCCTTCCTGTCATTTGTAGTTAGATTTTATCAGTTTGACTATTTTTTTTTTTTTTTTAAGAATTATTTAACTTAATTAATTTATTTATTTTAATTTTGACCAGAGAGGGACAAAGCCAGGGAGAGGGAAAGTGAGAAAGCAAGCTGCCAGGTCTGGGACTTGAACCACAGTTGGCCATGTGGGAGTCCATCACCCTTAACCATCACACCACCTGCCGGTCAGGTCCAATGTTTATTTTATTGAGCACTCAGTAAATTCAGTAGGAGAGGGGACCAGCAGGTGGCGTGGTGGTTAAGGTGCTGGACACTCCCACATGGCCAACCGTGGTTCGAGTACCGGATATGATGGCTTGCTTTCTCACTTTCCCTCTCTCTCGGTATCTCTCTCTGGTCAAATTAAAATAAATAAATGAATAGATAAAATTAAATAAATAATAATTTTTTAAAAATTCAGTAGGAGAGATGGATGGGTAGGTAATGCAGGCAGAGGAAAGAGGGTAGTAAAGTAAATGCTCTCTATTCATTCTGTTTGTAAATGCTGATTATGACCTAACCCAGCTTTTCAAACTATATTGTGAAGAAGAAAAATAACATTTCTGTTATATTGTTATCTTTAAGGAGAGGATTCAAAAACAGACCAGGGCTTGGGATGGGATAGCAGATTGAGGAAAAAACAAACTAGTTTTGTATCTACTTTAACTTCTAAGACCTTTAAGAAAAATAAAATTAAAAGGAACTTTTCACAACATTTTATGACACTTAGCTTAATAGTGTTATTTATATTTTTGAAACGAATGCAAAGTATCATAGTATTGTTTTATTATCATTTCTGCTTTATAGCTAAATGTTTGCCTTTAAGATATCACCTGAATCTTTGTCTTTCAGACCTCAGACTCTCAACTTAACTGCTGTCAATGAGGCTGTTCTCATAGAAAATCTGGAAATATTTAGAAAGAATGGCTTTGATTTTATCATCGATGAAGATGGTAAGTTATTATTTATTTTATTATTTTGTTTTAAAGAGAGATTTTTGCTATAGGGTGCGTATGCTCACCAGAGAGACAGAGAGCAAGAAATCACCCCACACACACACCCCAGGGCGAATGGCCACATCACAACCCCTTTTCCTCCAGTCTCCTCTTGGGATTTTGGGCACATACACACATGTGCCCAGCATGAGTTTTAAGCTCCTGGGTCCAGGATTCAAACTGTGGTCGACTATGTGGAAGACCAGCCACATAACCATTATGCCATCTGCTGGTCTCTCCTGAAGGTGGTAAATTATTAATTAGGACTATAGGATCATGTCTTTTTAGAGCTGAAAGCAATCTTTGAGGTTATATAGATTAGTCTTTATTTTGAAAGAGATGAAAAAGGTTTTCCAAAAAAGTATTTCATGTCTGCCTGTCTTTCAAGTATTTATTTTAAGTAGCATACAAGTGAAATGGGTTTCTCAAATTATGAATTTTTCTCAAAATATTGTTCCTTTAGCTCCGGTCACTGAAAGGGCTAAATTGATCTCCTTGCCAACCAGTAAAAACTGGACCTTTGGACCCCAGGATATAGATGAATTGATCTTCATGCTAAGCGACAGCCCTGGGGTCATGTGCCGGCCCTCCCGAGTCAGGCAGATGTTTGCCTCCAGAGCCTGTCGAAAGTCTGTAAGTAGAGAAAGCTCATCTGCTGGGGTCTGGAGGGTCTGCTCAAGCTCAAAGTCCAAGAAGGTTCTCTGTTCAGCTCTTGACTCAGTCAGTGTTGTTAAATGCATTTGTGATTATTGTGGGTCATTTTTTTATTTAGAACTGCATAGTCTGTCGATATAACATCCCTGCTCAGTATGTCATCTTTATCTTTGCGCTCTACCTCATATTTACTGGCCTTTCTTTTTTTCTGTAAGCAGTATTCTATCTCAGAGCTTTTGTGGATCCCAGCACAGATAGTGATTCATGCACCTCATTAATATGCAGACATTATGGGTAATAACAACATTGGCAGATAAAGATTTGCTGCTGCCATGCCTAGACGACAGTGTACCCGAGTCTGCAGTCAGTAAGACAGCAAACATTTCACAGGCTGCCCGGTGCAGCCACTGCATGAGATCACTACCACCACTCAGACTGGTCTTAGAAAGTGGTAGCAATGGTTGGGATCAGCCTGATGTCCAAGAAAAATAAGTGACTCTATATCACTTGACCAATAAGAAAGGCCAGGATACCTGGTTTGTTCATTCACCAGATGGTTCTTGAGCCCCTTCTGTGTGGGCCACCCTATCTCAGCTGTCAGGGACACAGGCAATAAGATAGGTCAGGTCTTTGTTCTTGTGGAATTTACAGTTTGGTGAGGAGAAATGGACATTAACAAAAAATACCCTTAGATGCCAGTAAGTACAGTAAAGAAATGAAAACTGGGCCAGCAGGTGGTGTGGTGGTTAAGGGTGCTGAACTTTCACATGGCCAACCATAGTTCGTGTTCCAGACTTGGCGGCTTGCTTTCTCACTTTCCCTCTTTTCTCTCACTTTGTCTCTCTCTGGTCAAATTAAAATAAATAAATAAAGTTAAATAAAAATGATTCTTTAATAATAAAAAAAGAAAAGAAAATTGTGTGTTGGGATGGGGAAGGCCACAGAAACCTGAACTCCCAGGTGAGATGGATGGTCTGAGGATGGATGGTTTAAGCCGTTACTTGAATGGTGAGAGGGGCCCCTCGGGTAGAACTTTCCAAGCAGAAGAAAAGATAAGTGCAAAAAGCTCAGGCTATTTGAGTCAAGCTAGAGGCTGCCTTTGTGCCTATAGGAGGTGAGGGTCAAGAGCTGAGTGGTCCAGTGGGCAGAGCACAACCAGTCTTGCGGACCCCTCAGGTAGAACTTTCCAAGCAGAAGAAAAGATAAGTGCAAAAGCTCAGGCTATTTGAGTCAAGCTAGAGGCTGCCTTTGTGCCTATAGGAGGTGAGGTCAAGAGCTGAGTGGTCCAGTGGGCAGAGCACAACCAGTCTTGCGGACCCCTCGGGTAGAACTTTCCAAGCAGAAGAAAAGATAAGTGCAAAAAGCTCAGGCTATTTGAGTGAAGCTAGAGGCTGCCTTTGTGCCTATAGGAGGGGGGGTCAAGAGCTGAGTGGTCCAGTGGGCAGAGCACACCCAGTCTTGCTGGTCATGATTGGAGTCACTGATGGGTACGACTGAGATGAGGAGGGGCAGGAGGAGCAGCTCTGTGGCACTGAGGATGATGGATTAAGAGTTCGGTGGGAAAACAGTTACACTGAAGTTCAAATAGGCCTTAAGTAAGGTGTCTGCAAACAGAAGGATAAATGAGTCTGGAGCTCAGGGAAATGTCAGGCCTTGAGATAAAATTTTAGATATAATCCACAGCTATGAAATTCAATGAAATTATTCAAGAGTATAATTAGAAAAGGGCTGAGGCGGGACCAGTAGTTAGCATAATGGCTATGTTGCTGGACTCCCATGTAGTTGACCGTGGTTCAAGTCCTGGATCTGGTGGCTTAAACTTATGCCAGGTGCGTGTGTGTGTGTGTGTGTGTGTGTGTGTGTGTGTGTGCGTGTGCACGTGCCC